GACGCTCGAATGGGGCCCTGGTTCGCTGTTGTGTCCCACCTCTCGCGTCTTCGACCCCTTGTTCGTTCGGTGTCTCAGCCTCTTGCGTGCGTGATGTCCTCCGCTGCTGCCCCGTCCACACATCGTCGGTGGTTTTCCTTGCGTCATCTGCGCGCGGCTCGGTGCCGCAGCGACGGCGATATCGGCGCGTTGGCGCGGCGACGGGCGCGGCGCATGGCGCTGGTTGACGACATCATTTTTAGCCGCGCGCCGAGCCGGCGTATGCATGCTTTTGCGAAACGGGACTCGCGTTCTCGGAAAACGGGTCCCGTTTTTGTTCCGCCTCGCCGTTCGTATCGCGTGTTCCGAGTTGCGGCAAACAGATGCGCATTTGTGGTACCGTAATCTGCCCTCTCCTGGGGAGGTAGATTGAAGCCAGCGGTAGCTACGTAAGCGCTTGCATGGCCTAAGATGTCGGTCTTGCGGTTGAGAAATCTAGGTTCGATGTTCTTGGCATGAACTTTCACTGGCCCGTTGCCCTGTGTTCACCACAGGTAGCGACGTAGGTAACCAGTTTGTCATTCATAACTGGAAAAGACAGGAGAACGGACAGTCCCGTCCGCGTAACAAACGATATTATCGGTAAATGCCGTATCCTGTAGGCTTGGAAGGATCTCTGCTCCGTGTTCTGGAGGCCTCTCCTGCCGTCTTGTGTCCGGGGGGGGGGGGGAGAGGGGGCTGTGTTTGGCATCCGTCCCGTGTTCGGATCCCGTCCGTCTCCTGTTCTTTTTCAAGGGAACGCGATGCACGTCGCCACGCCCCTGTGGGGAACGCCAGCGACTGCAGAGGCCTTCGTGGCGTTCAGGGGCCATAAGGCAACCGGGATCCGAACCCGGGCCCCGCGCGGGAGCCGAAAGCGCTAATCACCCGGCCGTTACGCCCGTTCGTGGCGTGTGTGGAGGACCCGTTCCTCCGGTGTGCGAGAGACCTGCCTCTCCGTGGCGCGTGCGGAGGATCCCGTTCCTCCGGTGGGGGAGAGACCTGCCTCTCCGTGGCGCGTGCGGAGGATCCCGTTCCTCCGGTGTGGGAGAGACCTGCCTCTCCGTGGCGCGTGCGGAGGATCCCGTTCCTCCGGTGTGGGAGAGACCTGCTTCTCCGTGGCGTGTGTGCGGAGGACCCCGTTCCTCCGGTGTGCGATAGACCTGCCTCTCCGTGGCGTATGTGGGATCCTCCGGCGTGCGAGAGACCTGCCTCTCCGTGGCGTATGTGGGATCCTCCGGCGTGCGATAGACCTGCCTCTCCATGGCGTATGTGGGATCCTCCGGCGTGCGAGAGACCTGCCTCTCCGTGGCGTATGTGGGATCCTCCGGCGTGCGAGAGACCTGCCTCTCCGTGGCGTATGTGGGATCCTCCGGTGTGCGAGAGACCTGCCTCTCCGTGGCGTGTGTGCGGAGGACCCCGTTCCTCCGCTGTGCGGGAGACAACGCTGCTGGCCAGCTGGCCTCTCACCACAACGCTGCTGGCCAGCGGCGGGTTGCTGGCCGCGTTTCACGAGTCTTACTACGCACCGGCGCGGCGTAACGGCCGCCTGCCGCATAGTAGTGAAAGTGACTCCTGGCTCGTCGAGGCGGATCGCGTCCGCGATGGCCCAGCTAACGACTGACGTAATCGATGACGTCACCGAGAAAGTGTCGGCGCCGGCTCTTTTCTACGGCGTGCTGGCGTGCTGTGAGCTGAGGGCGGCTCGCTGGAAGATCGGGGAAGAAATGTGGATTTAACGCGTCAGGCTTTGCGATGCCGGAGCATAGTTTGTCATGAATGCATTTAGCAAAATCGATATTGATGTCTTCTTCGGTAGGCAGTCAATTTGCGCCATCCGTTTCTTTGAATATAAATATATATACATATACACCCCTTTGCTGACACGTTTTCACCGGACGCTATCTTGAATCCCCTTGTTCCGGTACCTTCAGACGTCTGTTTTGACAGGTGTTCATCGAGCATGATAAATCACTGCTCGGGGTGAGCTGCCGCCCTTCCAAAAGAAAACCTGCTGAGCAGGTGAACACCAGAAGGTGCGGAAGATTGGTGCTCCAATGCATTTTATCTGAGCTCTGTTGAAGTCCTCTCCAGTTCATATGCCTCGTGCCTCGTGGGGTGACATTGTAATGCTCTCTTCGCGATTCATGCTGTTGCGTTTGCCGGCCCTTTTGTGACAGACAAGGTGCTGATCAACAGCCTCAAAGTGGGCACCGTTGGAGCGATGAAATGTTGAAGCATTTCGTAAAAAGCGTACCAAAGTGTTACATAACGCCTTTTTATTCGCATTGCACGTAGTCGCACATGGTATTTGGTCTCGGTAAAGAAAGCAACCAACTATATCTGCCGTAGCGATTCCCGTGCATTTCGGCGCACGACAAACTTGGTGTTTCGCTGTCGCTGTTCTTAAACACGTGATACCCGACATCGGTTGACGTCATCCACAGTTCAGAAGTATCAGCTGATCGGCTTATCGTCGCTATGTTTGTGATAACCTTGGTGTGTGTTAAAGGATGCCTGCGTCAAATCTGCAGGTAAATATTATCGCAGAAATGGTATTGATCCACCATTTGATGTCACTTCATAACGTTGCATGCGACGTTTTGGCAGCTAATCTCACGTTCCTCTCGGCTGTGTGTGTTTGTTACGTCGCTCTTTCCCATCCGTTATAGGCAGTCTGGCTGTGGGTGTGATGTGATACTGGAGCGGCACCGACTATGTGTCACCGAAAGGAAAAACGTTACACTGACCTCCAGCTGTCAACCGCATCTGGGCGTCAGGAATAAACCGCGTTATCCCACCAAAGCTATAGTTCGCACGCTCCAAGTTCCATCCTGTTGCGGAGATGAATCGTGAAATGATAAGTACCCACGGCACGTTTCGCGTGCGTAGTTGCAGTACAGATGGCTTTGCATGCGACATTGAAATCACCCCCTACTTGTGATTCTGTCCACGATCCGCCGGAACATCTGGGTGATAGCCGTTGCGCCAACGCGGCAGAGTGTCCATGACATCGATAAGTCCGCCGGAGTGGACATAACCTTGATGTCTGAAAGCTGGCAACGTCACCGCGAGCATCGCCGACTGAGCGCGATGTCCACGAATGCATTGCAACACACCAAAGCACACCGCCCGTCCGTCGGCCAGGGAGCCGCTCTCAGCTTGGCGACCTGCCAAACCGGCCGCTTCGGTGCGGTGCCAGCGCTTCAGCGCCGCGTGCCGCCTTCGCCGCGAGTGCGGTGCTTGCCTGCGAGACTCTTTGGCATGCTTTATTTCAAGGATCAGCCACTCGTACAAACAGACCATCACGGCTGCACGGTCGTGAGCCGCGTCACTGATGACACATGACTGATCATGTGCACGGATTGCACAAATGAAATGTCTGGACTGAGCTCTCCAGCGGAGCGTGTCTCGCGGGCGGCCGCCGACGCTCTACCTCAGAACGGGGACGGTCGGGCCGGCCCAGCCCGACCGCGTGCCGTGGTGGACCCGCAGCGGTAACCGCTGCCGCCGACGCCCGCGGACGGGGCGACGCCGGGCGCCGTGTCGCCGCCCCGCGGCTCGTCGCTCGCAGCGCGCGGCGCCGCCTCTTCTGTGACGGCGCCGACGGCCGGGCTTCTCCGCCGCCTCGGGGAATCTCTTCTCCGCGGCCTCCGCTGCGTCCGCGCGATTCGTCTCGCGCGTTTCGCTGACTAGATGCTTCGAGGGCGGCCTGTCTGGCGCCTGCGGGACCTGCGCTGACCCGACTCGCCCGTGACCGGTCTCAGCCGTCGGTCTGACCTGACCTGACCTGCGGCGTGACCCGGGCTCAGGCGCGCCTCTGGTGCTCCCGGTTCACAGCGTAGTGCCGCTCGCTCGGCTCCTGGCTGTGGTATATCTGGTAGTCGCTGCTGAGCAGGTTGCTGCGCAGGATCGAGCGGATGTACGGCGACGAGAAGGGTGGGTCGCGGCCCTCCAGCGCCTGCGACGGCTCGGGCACGTCCGCCGGCGCGTCCGGGAAGTAGAAGTTGCCGTTCTGTGGCCGCGCCGCCGCCAGCGCCGCCAGCACCATCAGCATCGTCCACAGCTGCGGCAGGGCCCATGACGAAGTGGAAGGTCGTGCGGAAGCGGTTGGGAGTTGGTTCTCTTCTGCGTTCGAGGCGGCCCCGGCTCAGAGTCGCTTGAGGAGTGCTGCTGGCCGTTGGAGGCGACTCGTCCGATCTGCGGCCCCTGCGGCCGGCCGGGCGGCCTTTATACCGGCGGTGATTGGCCGGCCGAGGACGTGACGTCACAGCCCCAGTCCAGAACTCTCGCCAGCTGCCGCGCTGGCGCCGGGATGTGTCGCGTGCTGGAAACGCGTCTGCCCCGGAGAGGCGAGCCGATGGCGCCGCCCCGCGCGAGGGCATGGCGGAAACACAGGCTGCCACTACAGCTACTACTAGACACTAGAGGATTTTCTCACCAGCATTAGGCCCCCCGCTGTATGGCTGCTGCTTTTGCCACAAAACATCGGTTTCGTGACATTGAAAGTTTTGGGACAGCCTGACTTTTAGACACCTTTTGGACGAACAGCTAGTCCTTCGTGGCCCTCGAATTAGGAAATGCACAAGAACTTCCAAGACACTGCACCTTTGGCTGGCACAGTCGGCGCCAGGGATGCTGGCGCGGGTTTGAGTTGAAGGTTTTCGGATCGTGTCGGTTTTCACAAACCTGCTGGTAACTGGAGTATGTGGGTTACTGATGTCCGCTAGAGTCGTCAGGGCTTCTGCGCTACCCCCCGAGTAAGCCCCCGGGTCTTATCTTACGTTTGTGCGTCGTTTCTTTCCGTGCGTGTTGTCTGTCGGTGCCCGTGTGCTGATTATGCTGGCTCTGTGTGACGTCACATAAGAGGGTATGACGTCACGGCCCTGTCCAGGACGTCGCAGCCCAGATAGCGGTCACATTCCTTCACGTGTGTTCACGTCCGTTCAGGTGTGGTTGTTCACGTCCCTCTCCGTCCTCAGGCCTGCAGGACTCGGACGATGAGGACGTCAGCGAGGATATGGACATGAAGATCGAGTCGATGCTGGCGCCGAAGCGGATCGTCAAGGAGGTGAAGCCGCAGAACGGCGGCGGCGGCGGAGGCGGCGGTCAAGGTCAGTCTTGACGGCCGGGTCAAGGGCAGGCAGGGTGACTCGGGGGTCAAGGTCACTCGTGCCGGCTGTGCTAAGGTCAGTCGGAGGCTGGGGAAGGTCGCTCGTGATAGGACGGCCGAGGTCAAGGTCGTCCTTGATGACGGGGTCACAGGCGTCCGTGATAGACGTCAGGTCAAGGTCACTGATAGCCGGGGCCTGTGCTCAGCGCGGCGGACGACCAGCTGTAGCCATAGTGCTGATCCGCCTTCCATCGGCTGCCTGCTGCTGCCTGCGGTCGAGCGCCACGGTCAGCCGTGTGAGGTCTCAACGGTGACGTCACACGTCACTGTGAGGTCTCGAGGTGGCGCTTTCCGGGTGTCGGGGTCAGCGTACTCTAGAGGGAAATCGGCTGCTGAGGTGGCGGAAGCTGAGGTGGCGGAAGGCCTGACCTCTGCTTCGGGCGCGTTCAAAGCTCTCGCTCGATCCGCCCCGCGTCTCCTCGGCGAATGCCGTGAGTGCGGAGCCGCGGTGCAGTCGAGTGCAGTGCGTGCGTGCAGTCGCCACCGGATGAGTGCAGTCGTCACCGGATGAGTGCAGTCGGCAAGGTCTGGGCTCACGTCACCGGCGCCGGCCGCTAATCGGCCTGCTTGCCGCGCCGGCCGCTCGCCCCGTGCAGGCGTGGCGAGCGCCGCGTGTGGGATGTACCAGGCCCGCGTCCTAGCTTTACGCGGGCTGCGCGCGGGCTCGGCACGCGCCACGGCCGTGCTCCGCCGCCGCCACGGCCGCGCGGCTAGGCTGCCGCCGCCGCTGCCGCCGCCGCTCGGCCGTCCGGTGAAAGCGCGGCGCCGGCCGCCGCCCGGTGTTGCAGGCCGGGACCGGTAGCGCCGCCGCCGCCGCCGGCTCCTGCCGGGTCGGGGCGCACCCCGCGGATGCCTGCCGGCGCTGGCGGGCGGGCGCTGGCGGCGGCGGTGGCGGCGGCCGTTTTCTCCAGCTGCCCGGATGCGGTGTGTGCGGAGCGTCACATGTGTGAATGGGGATCGGCTCCGTTGCTCAGCGGTCGGTGGTGGGGGCGGTAGCTTCCTTCCAGCCGGGAGGCCAGGAGGCGCCGGCTGGCACCGGCTGCCGGCCGGTGTGCTCTCCTTCGCCGGCGAAGGGAGGGGTGGAGCAGGCGGCGCCGTCTTGGCACGGCGCCGGGCTCTGTGCGTCCGATGGCTCCTGTCGGCGACTGACGCCGCGGCGCACACTTTGATCAGCCACGGAGCCCGGTGTATGGCCGAGCACACCACGGTCGTGGGCCGATCGTGGGTCGATCGTGGGTCGTGGGACGCGAGGTCGAGGTCGGATCGGTGCAGCCCTGGGTCGCACCCACCCGCGTGTCTGCCGCACCTCCCATTGCCGGCTCAGGTGCGCCGTGCGGCTGGTGGCGCCTCACGGGGCTCGGCTCAGGAGCGTCGCAGCCGCGGGCCACCTGAACCACGCGTGAGACGAACGCAGCTCGGCCTCGCCAGCTGGCCGGAGGACGGGCGTCCGCTGCAGGGCGGCGGTGAGCGCAGCACAGGGCAGGCGCAGCGGCCGCTCGGCCGGCGCGGCGCCGCGCGCGGGACCGGTCCGTCGCCGCCGGCTGGGCCAATGTCAGTGTCGCTGACGGGACGAGACGAGGGCGGTGGCGGGACGGGGACGGTGGCGGGGCGAGGACGGTGACGGGATGAGGACGAAGACGAGGACAGTGCAGAGACCATAAAAGTAATCAGAGATGTAACGCTCCGTAACGTGCATCACAGTGCGTCCCTTAACGATCACTATCTCTGCGAATAGTGTTTGTCAAAGCTCTCCTCTACCCTTTGCGCCTGAAGTTGTCGATTTGTAATGCCACGCAGCCCCCGCCAGTGCGTATGTGCAGGAGCTGCCACACGAGTTTCATGCATCTGGCGGGACAGTACGCGATGCAATGTCCTGTTTGCCCAGGTCAGGATGCATCCAAAACACGAACCCAAGTCAAAGTGGCACGGTCCGGTCAAAGTGAAAAACTGTGCCAAAGGCAGCGAGTTGAAGGTGGTCCAGCCCGAGCGGGCGAGAGGCCCGAGAGGCCCAGGGCAGGCCCCAGCGAGAGGCCCTGCGCCGTCCGCCTCCCACCCGGGGGCATCGCGTGTTGACCGCGGGCTTCGGTGCTGACCTGACCTGACCGAGCGCCGCCACGCCAGCGGACTGGCGGCCTCTGCCGACTTTGACCTGCCGTTCGCGCTGACCCCGCTGACCTGCGCTGACCTCTGCCCTCAGGCGGCTCGGGGGCGAGCGGCACGGCCGGCACGCCGTCGGGCCTGCCCGGCCTCATGACGACGCCCGTGTTTGGCGGCGCCGCCGGCGACAAGTTGGAGCTGGCGCGCCGGCTCGCGCTCCGCATCAACGCCCAGAGGAACCTCGGTCCCGACAACCGCGGCGCCAGTCAGCAGACGGCCGAGGCCGTCATGTCGGGCCGCGGGTCCCAGCCGCTCATCACGGTACGGCACGGCCGCGGGACGCGGGCGGGGCGCCGGGCACGCCGGTCACGGGACACGGGCAAGGCGCTGGACATGCTGGTTACGGTACACAGGTGGAGGTACACTGGTCTTGGTACATCCGTCACGGTACATTGGTCACGGTACACCCGTCACGGTACACAGGTGGCGGTACCACGGTCACGGCGCACCAAACACCAGCCACAAATCACGGTTTTCAGCAGCTTCCCTCACTCAGCGACTGCTCGGCTGAGCCTGGAGCAATTCGGATCAGCAAACGCTGTGTGTCCAGCCCTCGGCGAAGCCTTGGTCACGTGACGCCCCGCTCCCTGAGAACTGGTGAACGTCGCCTTTGAGCGACGGCCCGATAAGTGCCTCGGAATCAGTAGGCACGGACCTGATACCAAACGGTTACTCAGTCAATTATGACTTCGCACTCATTGGATGCGGATTAGACGACGGCGTACTTTTCCTCTAACCTTTAGCCGTCACCTCGTCCTCTGCTGTCCACCGACGCGCTGCCCCCCCCCCCCCCCCTCCCTCCCCGGCTGCGCGATTTGAAGATCGCTCCGCGGCCCGTCGGCCTTCGGATTTTCCCGGCGCTGCTGTGATAGGAGGCCCACCGTCTTCTCAGGTGCCAGCGCCATTGGAGCTCTGCGACGCTCTCAGCTGCTACGGCTGTGTGGCGTCACCTGTCCTCACCCTGACCAGGAGGGCGGGCGCCGCAGGGAAAGAAGCCCGCACCTCTGGTTTCCCAGACGCGCAGTGGCTCACGCAGACGCGTTGGCCGCTATACTGTCGGTACCCCTTCTCTCTTCTGTGGGTGCCGGTAGTGCAGTGGTTAACGCTTCTGCGTTAACCACTGCACATCTGGGAAACCAGAGGTACGGGGTTCGATTCCCCGTGGTGCCCGTCCTTCTTGCCAGGTTGAGAGGCAGGCGACGCCATGTAGCCTCAGCAGCTGAGTGCATCGTAAAGCCCCAGGGACATGACACGCATTCTCTCTTCTCTGGCGCACGCCCGCTCCCGGCCGTTCTCTTGACTGGTAAGCCGCCGCCTGGCCGCCCGGTGACCCCCTCCCCCGCTCCCCGCCCGCAGGCCAAGATGGTGGCGGAGCAGCTGGCGGCCAAGCTGAACACGCGGCTCAACTACATCCCCGAGGAGCGCTCGGAGGAGGAGCCGGAACCCGAGGAGACTTTCACCAAGTACGAGGAGGAGCTGGAGATCAACGACTTCCCGCAGCACACGCGCTGGCGCGTCACCAGCAAGGTAACGGCCGCCGGACGACCCCGCGTCGGGCCGGCCGGCCGCAGGGTCGCTGGCGGCGCTGCGCGGCGCGGGAGACGTGTGGCGAATGCGGGCTTTGCTGCTGTGTGCCGCCTTTGGGACGTGGACGTGGACGTGGTCGTGGTCTCAAGATTGCCGTTGTGAGAATTCAACTTTTTAGAAATGCAGCGTCGGTGGCGCTATGGTTTTGGTACGTTAGTTGCAAGAGCTGAGTGAGATGGATGCTCTGCTTACGGCTAGACCACAGCGCTCAGGCGGGGTTCCAGAAACTAAGCTACACAGAGCGCTCGACAGATGGCAGCAGTTTGTCGTTCCTGACGCCGCGCTGTTTCTCGCTCGTCCCGGCAGGAGGCGTTAGCACAGATCTCCGAGTACTCGGAAGCCGGCATCACGGTGCGCGGCACGTATTACGCGCCCAACGCCAAGATTCCGGAGGGTGAGCGCAAACTATTCCTGGCCATCGAGTCGACCTCGGAGCTGGCCGTCAGCAAGGCCAAGGCCGAGATCACTCGTCTTATCAAGGAAGAGCTGGTGCGCGCGCAGACGTCGCACCACTCTGGCGGCAACCGCGGGAGGTACAAGGTGCTGTGACCGCCGACAGGTGGCGGGCGTGGGACGGGCGTGTTGTGGGGTGTGTTTTCATCGTCGCGCGGCCGGGCACCATCCATCGATCATTGTGCGGCCGCGTGCTCATGGATCCGTGCGATCCCGCCTGGCAGATCACCCGCGGTGCGTGGCCGTGTGAGGCTGCTGTCGGCAGCACTGGCCGGAGTCGGGGCACAAGCTCCCGCATCGCGCGTATTTCTTCCGGGAATCGCCCGGGTATGCGCAGTGGGATGGCGGATGCGTGTGCACACTGTCATGCGAATATACTCGAGAGGAATACACCGGTGGAAGCCGATGAGTGTCGGACTGGCTGGTGACGGGTGCTATCAGGCGGCGTAGAGTCACAGTATGGCGGTCAGTGGCGGATGGAGAGAGAGAGAGAGAGAGAGGAGAGAGAGAGAGAGAGAGAGAAGAGAGAGAGAGAGAGAAGAGAGGAGAGAGAGGAAGAGGGAGAGGGAGAGGGAGAGGGAGAGGGAGAAGAGGGAGAGGGAGAGGGAGAGGGAGGGAGAGGGAGAGGGAGAGGGAGAGAGGAGGAGAGGAGAGGAGAGGGGAGAGGGAGAGGGAGAGGGGAGGGGAGAGGAGAGAGAGGCAAAGGGACATCGAAATCCCTATTTCGTTTCCACATAATATGTTTTGAGATCCACCGAGGTCCAGGAGCACGACAAACAGTCCCAACTTGTCAAGTCAACATGAACAATATAAAAATTGTCCTAAAAAAACACAGGAAGTAAATTCGGGCACCCATTCCGGTGGGGGATATATTAACGCTTAAAAATGAGACTGATAGTAGGATTGCCAAGGTCCGGGACTTCTATGTGGGGGAGGGACTAAATTCCAGGGGGCACCACAACGAGGCGCGACCCCTTAAAGTCCTGGATCCGCCCCTGATGGCAGTGCAGTGAGCGCCGACGCCGTCGTTAAGGGAGGGGGGGGGGG